GAAAGAAGAGTAGAGCAAAACGCCTACGTGAAGAAAGGAGAAAATTTTGGAGAAATGGTGATGGCGTGATGGACAAGGCCTGCAAAAAACGTGAAAGAAGCATGCATGCCCATTACGTGAGCCTAGCGTGCAGCAACCTTGCTTATTTGGGGCCACAACTTTGGAAGTGGATTGTCTGCCCTCCTATTTCTATACCCTCTTGTTTGTGTGGTCACGGTTAAGCCACGTCAACATTTTATATTCCTATTACTTTTTGTTTTATTATTTCTATAAAAAATTATATAAAATATTGACGTAGCTTAATCATGACCACACATCACAGGAAGACATAGGAAAAGTATGGAAATGGGATGACAGACAATCCACCTCCCACAACTTTACGTCCCCACTTAATAATTCAACCGAAAAGGTGGTTGCAATAATTCAACAGAAAAGGTAGTTTTTTATTTTTATTTTATTTTTGCCAAAAAATAGACTTTATTTATAATCTAATCAAAATGTTTACATCCATAACAAGAATATTAAATAAAAATTCAGGGCCTATCTCATCCCAAACAAATGGACCACCATGTTTGGCAGTAAACGAGGCAAACGTGTGAGCAGCCAGGTTGCTACCCTGCGGCACAAACCTTATTTTGACATCTCCAATATGCTTCACCAAAGAATTAATATCAAAGATAAGACATTCCAAATCAGCATCCACTTCAATCTCCTTGTTAATCATTCGCAATAGCACCTGGGCATCCGATTCAATCTTCACCTTTGTACATCCTTCATTTTTGCAAAACACAAGCGCTGCACGAAAGGCCTCCGCTTCCACCAAGATTGTTGAATTAAAAGGCCTCTTTCCCGCCTTCCTACTTTCCGCAAACACCCTGCAAAATCTTGAATCACCCACCCATAACTCCCCAACCCCCTCTTCAAATTCCATGATCCATCACAATTTACTTTCAAAGTACCAAACTTTGGTTTCCTCCACCCTTCAGTTGCTCCACCATCCTCCCGTGCCCCAATCTTCTTTGACTTAACCAAAGAATCCTTCACCTCCTTCTCAATTACCTGATGCTCACCCACATGTCTCCTCCATACCTCAATTGCCTCCATTGGATTCCATGTTTTCCCTTGAAACACCACATCACTGCTGCACTTCAAAACTCTCCACAACACAAAGACCATGTCCTGGAGAATTTCTTCCTGCCTTGCCATTCCTTTTATACGTGACAGCAAAGCCCCCCAACATCCTCTAAAGTCTTGTCCCACCAGAGACAACGAATCAATTTGTAATGGGTAGAAAATCACAACACTTTGCTAAATTCACACATGAAAAGAAGATGTTTCTCCGTTTCCTCCACAGCGCCACACACCACACACCTACCATCCACATTCATACGCCTCCGAAGCCAGTTCCTTCTTATCGCCAGTGAACCGTTGCGATATCTCCACATAATTTTTTTTTTTTAATTTATTAGGAACATGAATCCCCTAAATTCCTTTCCACAACCCGTCCCCTTCAACCTTCTCACTTGCCATGCTGTACCTCTTCTCCCAAACTCCCCATTCGCTTGCAACTCCATCACAACCTTATACCCCATTCGAACCGTATACCCTCCATGTTTCGTATGATGCCAAATAATCCTATCCTTACAACCTATCAAACTCAATGGTATTCCCAAAATTAACTTTAACTCTTCCTCATCAAAAAGCTCATGTACCATGTCCATATTCCACCCACCCAAATCAAAATCAATCAAATCACTTACCCATTCCGGCCTCAAAGCATTTCGAGTTTGAAGTTTGAAAGTGTTGGGTAAAGGAATGCAAGGATCTCCAATGACTCTGTATTGGAAGATCTTTACTTTTCCATGTTTTCCTCACCTTTACTTTTCCATGTTTTCCTCACCTTTACTTTTCCATGTTTTATGCTCCATGTTTTATGCTTGTCCTCCCTTTCTTTCGGCTTTTGTTTTTCTTTTCCTTTCTTCCAAAGCTCATTTATATGAGCTTCCCTTGTACATTGGTTTTACATAATACAAAATATAGACATTCAAAAATTCAATATGGTATCAGAGCAGTGACCCTAACCGGCCTGTCTCTGTGATGTTCTCTTGAGAGATTTGTGAGCTTCTTGTCCTTCAATCATGGCTGAAGAAAGCTTAGTAAATTTGGAAGGAGACGGCTTTCATGCTACTCCACCATCACCACACTCAGATATTGATATCAACCCAAATCAACGTCTTAGTTCTGTCTTGCTAAATGAGTTTAACTATCTTCCATGGGAGAGAGCAGTTTCTCTTGCTCTGGGAGGACGATCAAAGCTTGGTTATGTTAATGGTGTTATTCCAATGCCTGATACTACCTCACCGGAGTATGATGCTTGGCTATGCAAAGACCAGTTGGTCATGTCGTGGCTACTCAATTCCATGGATCGTAAGATTGCAGAAATTTTTAGCTATGCTGAATCCTCCATGACTCTTTGGAAAAATCTCAAGGAAATGTATGGAAATCAGAACAATGCGGCTAGAGTGTTTCAGTTAAAGAAGAACATTGCTGGTTTGCAACAGGAAGGGAAGCCATTTGTGCAACATCTTGGAAAGCTGACCACTATGTGGAACGAGCTGAATGTGTATCGACCACACACCATCGACGCTGCTGTGCTAACTAAAAGAGCCGAGGAAGACAAAATATTCCAACTCCTAGCAAGCCTGAGTCCTGAATTCGAAGATCTTCGAAGTCATATCCTCATGAATCCCGACCTACCTTCTTTTTCAAGTGTGTGTGCCACAATTCAAAGAGAAGAGGTTCGAAGGAAAGTCATGACCTTGGACATGAAGGCAAATATACCAGAAGCTAGGGCTTACTTCTCTAACCAAAAACTTGGTGAGGAGAGAGGCTACAAAGGAAAGAAAACTGGCTTAAAATGTAGCCATTGTGATGCTGGTGGGCACTCAAGAGATCGATGCTGGATTCTTCATCCAGAGTTAAAACCAAAGTTTCCTAGGGATAACAAAGGTGTCTCGAAAGGCTCGTACAACCCTTCTTACAAGGCAAATCATGTTGCCACAACTTCTTCTGATGGAGCACTGAAGTTCACCACTAATCTAGCTGCACTGATCAACGAGTTTGCTATGTTTCTTCACAAGAAACAAGGTCTTGGAGATAGTGAAGGACCACTAAATCAGTGTGACAACAATCAAACTGCACTACTAGGACAGTTTGCTGGCTTCCTGGCTGGAAATGAAGGCGTGGTACAAAGGGACATCCCAGGTATCTTACACTCCTTCTCAACTGCTCTCAACATTGGTAATGTGCATGATTATTGGATTATAGATTCTGGAGCCACTGATCATATGACTAACAAGTCTACAAACTTGCATAAATTTGAAAAATTTTCTATTCCATCCCAAGTGTCAGTTGCCAATGGAAAAAATGCTATGGTTGTGGGAAAAGGAAAAATACATTTGATCTCAAGTGATGTCGAGTCTGAGGCTCTTTATGTTCCCTCATTCCCTTTTCAACTTTTATCTGTTAGCAAGATCACAAACTCATTAAATTGTCTTGCCATTTTCTCTCCAAAAAATGTGATCTTTCAGGATGTAGACACCAAGAAGACGATTGGTGAAGGATTTTTCTTAAATGGTCTCTACTATCTTTCCAAGCATATTCAAATTCCCAAGGTTTTTCAAGTCACTTCAAGCTTAGCTCAAGAACAACAACTTTGGCACCAACGCCTAGCACATCCTTCTGAAAAAGTTCTATCCACCTTGTTCCCAAATATGTGCAAAGTTACAAGTCCTTGTGATTTTTGTCATTTTTCTAAGTTTACTAGATTACCATTTACTTCCTCTTTGTCTAGGGCTAGTAACCCTTTTGAAATTGTGCATTCCGATGTTTGGGGACCAACTATAGAGTCTTTTGATGGATACAAATATTTTGTAACTTTTGTGGATGATTTCACAAGGATTACTTGGTTGTATCTTTTGAAATTTAAAAGTGAAGTGATGGAAGTTTTTCAAGATTTTCATAGACTTGTGGCCACCCAATTTGCTTCAAAAATTCATATTTTACGATCAGATAACGGCACAGAATATATGTCTCATAACATGTCACACTACTTGAGCACGCATGGTATATTACACCAAACAAGCTGTGTTGGAACACCTCAACAAAATGGGGTGGCCGAGAGGAAGAATAGAGATCTACTTGAGAAGACTAGAGCTCTTATGTTTCACATGAATGTGCCTAAAAAGTTTTGGTCTCAAGGAGTCCTTACTGCGGCATATCTCATCAATAGATTGCCTAGTAAAGTGTTGAATTTTAAATCACCTTATGAGGTCTTGAAAAATAGAAAGATCAACTTTTCCCATTTGAGAGTCTTTGGGTGTACATGCTTTGTTCACATTCAAACTCAAAATCGTGACAAGCTAGACCCAAGGGCTGCCAAATGTGTCTTTCTAGGTTATTCATCTACCCAAAAAGGTTACAAGTGCTATAATTCAACAACTAGAAAAATGGTTGTTTCAAGGGATGTTAAATTTGAAGAACATGTTCCTTACTTCTCACAATCACTGGATTACTCTAGACAGGGGGAGCATTTGATGGACTTATTTCCTTTTCCATATCCAAACGGAGAAGATGCAACATGCACTCCTAGTGATCATGTGCCGGATGATGTTAACCTTCACTCGGTGGAACATCTTGAAGATAAAAACCCTTCCTCATCAGAGATTCACACTGCACCCTCCAGTGATCCTTCCAACCATGATGTTGTTCAAATACCTGTAGTTCAATCTCCTACAGTTCGTCGCAATCCTGCACGAGAGAGGAAACTTCCATCCAAGTTGCATGATTATGTGACCTACACTGCCAGGTATCCCGTGACTGATGTTATTGATTATAGCAAAGTCTCATCTTCTTTTGCTACATTCCTAAGTGCCATTAATGAAGCTCGAGAACCTTAAAGTTTTCAAGAAGCCAATCTTCACAGTGAGTGGAGAAATGCTATGGCAGAGGAGCTTCAAGCCCTCCATGAAAATAACACATGGACTATAGTGAAACTTCCAAAAGGAAAGAAGGCAGTGGGGAGTCGTTGGGTGTACAAAACTAAGTTTCATTCAGATGGCACAATCGAAAGGAATAAGGCTCGCTTGGTTGCTCGAGGTTTTACACAAACCTATGGCGTCGATTATAAAGAGACATTTGCTCCGGTGGCAAAAATGAACACTGTTAGAGTATTGTTGTCGGTTGCAATTAACAATGCATGGCCTCTCTTTCAAATGGATGTTAAAAATGCTTTCCTGCATGGTGAACTTGAAGAAGAGGTTTACATGAAGTTACCCCCAGGTCATCCTCAATCAAACAATCCAGAAATGGTGTGCAAACTCCATAAATCCATTTATGGTCTCAAGCAAAGTCCACGTGCATGGTATGCCAAGCTCAGTCATGTTCTGGAAAGGGTTGGTTTTTGTCGAAGTATTGCGGATTCTTCCCTATTTGTTCGTTCCAGCTTAGTGGGTAAACTAGTTGTGCTCATTTATGTTGATGATCTAATTGTGACAGGTGATAATATGTCAGAGATTATTGCTCTTAAACAGTATCTCAACAACAAGTTTGCTATCAAGGATCTTGGCACTCTCAAATACTTTCTGGGCATCGAGATGGCACACTCTCACAAGGGTTTCTTCCTCAACCAACGCAAGTATGTCATGGATCTTCTTCACGAAGCAAAAATGACAGATTGCAAGCCTGCTCGTACCCCCTTGGATAACAACTTGAAGCTAAAAACTCACGGTGATCCAGTTCCCAATTTAAGTTACTATCAAAGAATGGTTGGCAAACTCATTTATCTGACTATCACACGTCCTGATATATCATATGCTGTCAGCATTGTTAGCCAGTTTATGCACTCTCCAAGCATGGATCATTTGAAGATTGTTCATCGTGTGCTACGTTATCTTAAGGGTTCCATTGGTAGAGGAATTCTTATGCGCAACAATAGTCACACTCAAATCTCAGGCTATACCGATGCTGACTGGGCAGGCAATTCTCTCGATCGCAAGTCTACCACTGGGTTTTGTACGTTTGTGGGAGGCAACCTAGTTACCTGGAAAAGCAAGAAACAAAGTGTTGTTGCACGCTCTAGTGCAGAGGCAGAGTATCGTGCTATGGCGTCCACTGCTTGTGAACTTATTTGGCTCAAAAGCCTTCTGTTGACTTTAGGTTTTCCTCATCAACAACCCATGTCCCTACACTGTGATAATCAGGCCGCGATGTGATAGGAGCATATTTATGCGACTTAAATGGCTTGTTCTCGTACATTTACGTTATGTTTCTTTAGTTATTTTAGTACTTTAAGCTATTTTCGTGTGTTTGTAGGTCCAAAGGGCTAAAGGAGCAAAAAGATGCATTTTGGAGACTTTTGGAGCACTTTTGGGCTAAAGGACGGATAGCTTATGCTTGAAGCCAAAGTGTTGGACGAAATTGAAGACCTAATTGGAGCCAAAGTGTTGGAACCTTGTTCTCTTTAGTTTTAGGACATTTAAACCTTTCCTAATCCCAATCATGCCATGCATAACACACATCCATTCTAACACATTGTCATTGCACATGCATTTCCTTCATTAGTTAACCCACATGCACTTATCACTTATCATCACCACTTAACCACTTATCATATCATAACCACATATCATATCACTTATCACTTATCACTTAACATATCATCCACCTACTTCACCTACAACATCCACCTACTTCACCTACAACATCCACTTCACCTACAACATCCACCTACTTCACCTACAGCATCCACTTCACCTACAACATCCACCTACTTCACCTACAACATCCACCTACTTCACCTACAACCTCCACTTACTTCACCAACCTCACACACTTACTTCACCTACAAATGACATAGCCATATGTTCCCTCCACTACTCCTATAAATACCCTTGCATTCATTCATTCAAAAACATCTCATTTTCATACACAACACATTACAAACGCATTCTCCCTTCCCTAGCCGTGAGCTTCCCATCTCTCCCCTTATAATCCAAACACCATTTTTCCATTCCCCTTCCACTTCTACACCACTCCTCATCCATTTCCATAATCCCCCAAACCTCACCTTAGACCTTGTGCTACAACGAAGAGGAAGAGAAGAGGGCCTAAACGTTCATACAATTCAAGTTTGAGTTGTTGGAATGTTTAGGTGATTCTTTGATTTCAATGTTTCATTTTAATTCTCTTTGTTTTGTGCGTATGAGGAATGGAAGAGAAGAGTGCCTAAACGTTCATACAATTCAAGTTTGAGTTGTTGGAATGTTTAGGCGTTTCTTTGATTTCAAAGATATGAGGAAATAAAACCCCCTTTAGCTAGGGGGTGATTCGAAACTATGTTTATATTTGCAATATGAATTGATTAACTTTCGTTGGAATTTCATAAGTTGTTGATTCAATTTGTTTAACCGTTTGATTGATAACTTATTTATGTATGTTTATTAAGAATGCGCGCTTAATTTTCATGCATGAATATGACGCTAGAATATAAGTGAATTTCACCTAATCGTTATGAACTTATATTCACAAGTAGTGGAGGTTGCTTATAAACAATCGCGTTAAACGAATTCTTGGCATAAGTTTCATGCGTATTCCATAGTAACGAATGCCTCGTCAACACTTATAGTTTTCATGTTGCTTAATGATCTTTGATTGTATCTTTATTGTGTTGTTCACGTAAAGGACTTTTGGAGAATGTTGTGAATTGCGTTGCGCTAACCCATCCAATTCATTAACTTAAGGAAAACTTGACGGTTAATTTAAGCGGACCTAATTAACCCGGAGTGTTGATTTTCATAATTTATCGAAAGACCAACTGAGAATCAATCTTGTATGCAAGTGTAACATGTTTGGAGATGAACCCCTTAGCTAGCATTCATCCATAAATTTCATATTTACATTCTGTCTAGTTTATTAACTTGTTTCGTTATTTCAATTTTCGTAAAAACCTCAATCCCCCTTTTGCTTTAATGTTCATTTTAGTTAGAATTCAATTTAATTTGTGTTTTTAAAGCATTTTGAGTTTTTGGTTTGTCTTAGTGTTTTAAACTTTAATTTTGCATTCTTTGAGTCTAGTTTAGTGTTTTAAACTTTATTTTACGTTTTTGAGTCAGTTTCCAAGAGATTTGCAATCCCTCCTAATCCCCGGTCCAGAACGATCCCTACTTATACTTATACTACAAATCGACAAAAAGAGGGTTTAATTTGTGTGCGTATAAATCCCGCATCACGATGCACATTGCATCGAATCCTGTTTTCCATGAGCGAACTAAACATATTGAAGTTGATTGTCACTACGTCAGAAATCAAGTTCAGTCCAAGGTGATCGACACTCACTACACGCGCAGTCATGATCAACTTGCGGATATTTTCACAAAAGGATTACCCTCTGCTGATTTTCAACGTCTTTTGTTCAAGCTTGGATCAATTAATCCCTTTGATCCAGCTTGAGGGGGAGTATTGGAAGATCTTTACTTTTCCATGTTTTCCTCACCTTTACTTTTCCATGTTTTCCTCACCTTTACTTTTCCATGTTTTATGCTCCATGTTTTATGCTTGTCCTCCCTTTCTTTCGGCTTTTGTTTTTCTTTTCCTTTCTTCCAAAGCTCATTTATATGAGCTTCCCTTGTACATTGGTTTTACATAATACAAAATATAGACATTCAAAAATTCAATACTCTGATATTCCTTCCATCCCCCACCCTCTAGCGCAACCCCCTTTCAATAATTTTTTTTCCCTGAAAAATACCTTTTCAACCCCATGACGATTTACACCCCAACTTTGCATCCAAAAAAGTTGTGTTCGGAAAGTATTTATCTTTAAGTACCTGAGCCAATAGTGAGTCCGAAACCATCATCAAACGCCACCCAATTTTAGCCAAGAACGCAAGGTTGAAGCATTGTAAGTTGGAAAGTACTGGTATCATGAAGGAACACAAACATTTTTTGATGATCTTGATCACTACAAGATGATAAAGGCCATGTGCAAGCTATCTTGTGGCATTTGTGATAAGATAAAAGAACCAAAGAGTGAAGGGTCAAAGAGACAACGGGAGTTTAAAAATGTCAAGCAGCTGAAAAATCATTTGTTCCATTATCATGGATTGTTCATGTGCAGTCTGTGTGTTTGGGCGGTAGGAAGTTGAGCTTTACATTTAGATGACTTAGATGACACCATATATACAATGATGAATTATATCTCATATCGGCGTTGTTATACTTCCCTTTTTTTTTTTTTTGAAAGATTATACTTCCCATTTTTTGGTTATATATCTATTAGGAGTTTATACACTCCTACTCTGATTTAATGGCTAAAGTCTTCTCTGATTTGGAAGCATGAAGCATTAACCTTGATGCTGATGCTTATTATTTTCACCGTGATGTATCTGACTGTAAGTTTTAATACAGATCTTTATCTGTGAGCAAAAGTTATATACTAAAGCTCAATTGGGTATACAGAGACAGGTGATTTAGAGGTAGACGGCAATGAGACTGAAAGATGTGGATTTAATGGACATCCTATGTGTGAGTTTTGCAGCAATCCGTTTTATGGAGATAATGAGTTGTACATGCATATGTCCACTGAGCACTATACTTGCCATATATGCCAAAGGTAACCTGTTTCGAGTATTTGAAGGTAATTATTTACTTTAAAAGTTTTAGCAAACTTATAACTGCTGCATCTTCAATGCAGGCAACATCCAGGACAATATGAATACTACAATAACTATGATGACTTGGAGGTCAGTTGTTTTGCATTTCCAACTGACTATCGTCGATGCTTTGAAAAGTCCATCATTGAGACTCGCTTCTTAGTTGACGTGATAATGTATTTTGCAGAGTCATTTTTCTCAAGCTCATTTCTTATGCAAAGATGACGACTGCTTAACAAAGAAGTTTGTTGTTTTTGCAACTGAATCTGAACTAAAGGTGATATCTTAGTGCATATTACTTGATCTTTTTCCACCTCTTCTGCTTGCCATGTTATGTTGAGGTTTTGCTCACTTGAGTTTATTTCTGCAGAGGCATAATGCCAAGGAACACGGAGGGAACATGTCTCGCTCTAGGCGTAATATTGCTCTTAAGGTTTGCATGTGATATAATCATAAAACTTATGCGACAGTTATAGCGGATAGGTTTATCATTCCATCTTGCTTTCTTTGTTTTGTCCACTCAAGCAGATACCAGTGAGCTTCCAGTGTAGGAGAAGTAACGAGGCAGATCTTCATGGACATTATGTTAGAGGATGTGGTTTTCATTTTAATTCTGCAGACAATCAACTTTCCGTGGCATTTCAAGCTAGCCATGATACAGCCACTGCAGAAAGGTGCCGTAATGCATCCTCTAGTACACAACAAGCTTCTATTCACCAAGAAACAAGTGAACTTGAAACTGTTGCTGGCCGTTTTGAGGCGTTAGCTACTGCCGAATTTGAGTCTTCTTCTAGAGAAAATCCCCGGATTGAACTACAAGAAGCATCATCCTTCCCTCCACTTCCAGTGGCTCAAAGAGACAGGCAACAGAAATTAAGAAATGGTTCAGCAGGATCGGGTGGTAGTTCAATGGCTTCTTGCATTTGTCGCCTTAACAAAGAAACTGTCCTTAATACTTCTCCAGTTTGGCCTGCAACAAATCGTCAAACTAAATCATCTGCCAGTAGTTGTCACCAGAAAAAGCCCTCTTCAGGCTCTGGGCACATATCATCATCTAGTTCTCCTGTATTTTCCCTGAGCGGTCCCCCTAAGCAAGCTGCAGCCACTGGGTTTGTTTCATCTAATTTTGCCAGTCAAAAGAATTCGACTGGAACCAGTAAGGTCGCCCAATCTGCTTCAGGTCCAAAAATTATCAATACCGGTTCTTTGGACTCCGATTTTCCTTCTGTTTCTGCTAATCAAACAAATAAAGAACCTGGTACTGCAAGTATTCAGAGAGTGCCAAAGGTTGGAGATGTTCATGCTGTCAACAATTCTCTTGTGGAAAAAATCCGCGATGCTTTGGAATGTGATGACAACAAATTCTCCGCATTTAAAGAATATCTTCAGACTACCGCAAGGATATAATCAATACAGAGGAATATCTTGCTTATGTCTACCAGTTCGGCCTCTCACATTTGCTTCTCGAGCTAGCTAGACTCTGTCCTGATGCTGAGAAACAAAGAGAACTTGTCGAGACTTACAATTTGAGCATAATGATATTCGATTCAGCTCAGCTCGTT